AAGTACATGCCCACAACGAAATACGAACCAAAGACCCTTCTATCAAAGGCAGGGTACTACCGTCTTAACAATCTTGATTATCCTGGCTTTAAATTACCATTACGATTATATTATGTTTAACAATATTATTAACTTACCAATTATTAATACTATATCTCCTACTTATTAATATTATAACAACTAATATTATGATTATTGTTTTTAAATTTACCTTTGAATTTGTGAAAATTCGTTACCTCTTTTGTTTACTTTTTATTTGTTACTAGCTATCTCAAGATATGAGTTTCCGTGTTGTTAACATGTTTGCATACGAATATTATTTTTTCTCTTGGCATTACGCATTACCTCATGGCATTACGCCCTGAGGAAGGTCGCAGAATGGCGACCGAAACGTCGGCACCTTCGCCAATGGACGCGGCGTCACCCGGACAGCCTAGTAAATACTGACTCCGGCCGCGGAAGTCTACGCTCCCTGCATACGAACAGTTGGAATGAAAAAAAAAGAAAAGTCTTAATTTCCTTAATATTCACAAAAAATATTATGATGGAGTAAACGAAGACAGAATATTCTGAAGTTAAATGAAAAATGTAGGTACAACGTACTGCATAATCGAGTGTTGTTTGGAGAGAAGAACGAAGGTTTTTTCTTCAAATCACGTGTAGAAATCAACTTCAATAATGAATGCGACAGCTTCTCAGTTTCTGCGATAATACGTGAACTTGTCTTTCTTTATTTAATAAAAATGTATTTATACATCTTGTTTAATGTCTGAATCACAAGCTTACGTCTAACAGCCAAGTGAGAGGAACGTTACCATGTTTTACGAAATGAAATGAATTGCATTGCATGTATCTGGTAACGCCATAATGGGGAATTGCTTATTAAACATGTGACAGTGTAAATGAGAAAGGTGCTTGCCCTCCCGTAGCACATCCCCCGATCCTCTCCTGCTTCTTCCTCCTTTCTCTGCACTCAAGACATTTAATAGGGCCTAAACAGATACGTAGAAGTAAGTACACGCGGACTCTCTTACTCTTAATGGCCAAGTGCACGCACGCGCTAGGCGATTAGCCTCATTCCTCGCTCCTCAAGGGAAAAGGCCAGAAAGGTCACGGCTTGAAAATCATTCGATAGCTCTGTTTGTAAACCGTATACTTCGCTCGCATCCTGTCTTAAAATACAAACTAAATGATTCGAATCGAAATATTTACAGCTACTACTAGAAATGTCTGATAAAAATGTGTCTTCTTGAAATTGATGTGAATTTTCATATAATTTTCAAATCATTTTTCAGGTAAAATTATTTTTAATATGCTCTGTAAGGAGACAACGCAGACTTAAAAAAAAGTCAGTGCCGCAATATTGTAGTTGAAAGGCAGCATGAACGTCTTTCTAAATAGGTAAATAACGTTTTTTGGATGAGTAGGTAAACACAGTTTCTCGCCTCGAAGGGGACAGCGTGGCCCACAATCTTATCAATGGTTCTCCTGTCTATTGACCAGGACCAGATGGGACCGGCTGTTTCTGCTGCTGGATACCTCATCCTCAGCCACCACCTTCCAGTTCATTACTGACGCTGCCTAATAATATCAATTTGCATACCAATCTCAAAATGTTCCAGTCATCTTACTCTTCTCCCACAAATTTTCTCTTTTCCCTGTCCTCTTGTTTTTGCATGTATAGAAAAAATATGTACCTGTAGAAGAATCTAAATACATGGGGTTCGAAACGCTGTACAGATGTTAACCCTTTAACTGCTACTGTGAGTCCACTTTAAGTCCCGCGTCTTTCGTCTTGCTTCTCGCTGCGGGCCCCGTTCTAAGCGGAGCTCACTCGCACATAGATGCAGCGCATTTATTAGTTAGGCCTAGCGGTAGCAGAAAGAGCGTCTGCACGAGCGAATTCTTCCAGAAGACCCGAAATTGAATTGAATTGATGCCTAATTTTACGTGGCGAGGCTCGGGCCATCTGGCCCGCTCTTCCATATGACCACGCAAATTTCGCTACGCTCCTTTCACCAAGCGGAAGCGAAAAAACAAGGTATTTCTTGGGCGACGAACCAGGCGATTTGAATTAGCTCAGAGGTGTCATCTAGGCTTGAGGATCTTTTACACGCAAGTAAATCTACTAACATGGAACAGACGGCTTTACTTCCCCTCCGAAGGAAGGCGAACGAAGGATTTTTTCGCCCTTAAAAATCCACGGCATCGATCGGGTTTCAACCCGCTAACGTAGGTATAACAGTCCAATACACCACCGCCGCGTAAACCAGGGACACCGCAGTTCCGCGTATCATCTCGTCAAGAGGCTCCGAACGACAACCTGACTGTGCGCAATAACTCGTCCAGAGGCAACCGCGCAAGGAAATATTTGACGTATCAACTCGTATAGAGCAGTCCAAGGGTTAAGAAGAAAACCTTGTCATACAATAACTGGATCACAAAATCCAAATAGAGTAAATAGAGATCAAATTATTTAAAGTCGTCTACAAATTCCATCATTTTCCCCGAGCAATGCAATTCCAGCTGATTTTTCGCGGTTTTCCGTGCTTTTCACAAAGTGGCCCCCAACGCAGTAGTCAGATCCAAACCTGGAAGTATTACAGAGCCGGGACCCACCAGACACGAACCGCGCGCCCCGGAAGCGCGGGGCGGGGC